GTGGCGTGAACCCAAGTTCTACCTTTGACCAGGTGGGTTTCCTTGGGCCATACTCTGAGGTGAGGATCTGCAGCCCACCCTACCTTGTGCTTGCAGGGTGGCCAGTGCATTCAGTAGTAGGTGGTGAGGGACAGGGAAGAGATGCTGGGCAGGGACAGGGACCTGAGGGCTGCCTTAGGGTGCGTTGTCCATGGTGATTTTTAAGACCCAGGTATCAGAGCTGGCACTGGGGGGGGGGGGGGTGCTGACCTGCACTTGAGTCCCGTGTTGCCTTTACTCCCTGTTTAACCTTGGCCAAGTTCCCTAGGCTCTCAGAAGCTCAGTGTTCTGTCTATAAACTGGGGATTGCTATGCCAGGCGGCTAGGGCTACTGTTAGAATTAGGCTAAATAATTTTGTGAGCTAATTGGCTAGTAGTAGGGGTTATTTTGCCTTCTTCACTTTGAAGTGTGGCTCCCAGGCCAAGTCAGAGGCTCATGGTTTATAGAGGGAAGTGGAAGCCAAGCCCCAGAGGCTCACTGCGGCAAAGCCGCCCAGGCCTCCCCGAGTCAGCCAGACGTGCAAGATGCAGACCCCAGCTGCCTGGTGGACAGGTCTGGAGTGTACACTGCACAGGGCCAGGCTGACCTTAGAGTGGGGGAGGGGAGGGCAGCCTGCTAGGCAGGTGGTGTGGAGCAGGGCTCTGAGTGGACGGAGGAGGGATCTGAGACTTGTCTTGCATCTCTTGTGTTGGTTAATCCGGGGCAGCCAGGGAGGTTGTGGTGGCAGGCTCAGGGGCTGCGTTCTGCTGGCCTGTGGTCACGCCAAGCTGCTTCACCGTCTGCTTCCTGCCTGTAAGGAGGAAAGGCATCCTGAGCATCTGAGAAGTGAAACTCAGTGCCTGGCATTCTGAGGCTCCCTGATGCTGGATGGGGCTCAATACCGAGCAAAAGGTCTCTGGTTCCTGGGCCCAAAGGCTGTGACATGACCCTCCCCCATGTCTCAGGGTCCAGTGGCTGCTCCACCTCTAGGCTGCTCCCACCCTGTTTATTTGCTGAGCTATAGAGGGGTCCAGGCAGCCTGAGGGAGTAGGAGGACCCAGAAGCCTTGCCGTGTATGTGTGTGTGTGTGTGTGTGTGTGTGAGAGAGAGAGAGAGAGAGAGAGAGGTGTTCCTGAGCACCTGCTCCAGCAGACCTGGGATATTGCTTCTGTTTGGCAGCTAGTTCAAAAGGAGTGTCGTGGCCATTTGACCTCGTACTGAGGTCAGCTCTCTTCCAACACTACCTAAGGTAATCCTGCCTCAGGCCACATTCCCAGTGCCACCTGGAGGTGCAGGAGGTGGTGGAGGGTTCTGTAGGCTGGAGGTGGGGGCTGAGACTTGTCCCCCAGTATCCAGTATTGGTCTGGCTGAGTCCAGAGGCCCCTCCCTACCTCACCTTACCGCTGGGCTGGCACTACCCCCAGTGTGCACCCAGAGCCCTGGCCCTGGACCTGGCCCTGGCTCCGGTCTCCTGGGAAACCTCAGCCTGCTGTGTGAGCTTGTGACGTCCATCTACTCTGCTGAGGAGGTGGAGGGGGTGCTGTTTGTAAGCCTGTCATAGGTTCAGATCAGAATGATAGTTGAGCACTGTGGCTTAATTTAGCTCCAGAATCCATTTTGTCACCAAAGTAGTGGGATCTCTGTATGTAGAATGTCTTGGCTGTTTGATCTCTTTCTGAGGTCAACTCACGGTATACAGAAGGTGCTGTAGAGTGTGGCCATTCAGCCCCTTGTTCAGTAGGCCACCCAACCCCCAAACTTTAATCACTGCCCTCTAGACTCAGCCTCCTGCCCAGAGAGGGGAGTTTCAGGACCAGGGCCACCTCGTCACTCCCCAGCACGGGAGGTTCCCTTCTAGAACCCAGAATCCTGAGGCCCAGCTAACCTCAAGGGTCCAAAGCCAGCTCCACCCAAACCAGACCCAAGCCCGAGGGATAAAAGCCCAGCCCTGCCTGGAAGTGGGCTGGCAAAGGAGCCCCCTTCCTGGTGGGTTCGCAGGCTCTGCAGATCCCGAGGATGTGACCGTCCTCTGGTCAAGCTGGTACTTCAGCCTCTCAGCCCAGCTCCTGGCCCTTAGACGCCCCAGCAGAGAGGCCAGCTGGTATCCTTGGCCATCTCACCTCTCTAGGACCCAGGATAAGGAAGGGACAGGCATGGGCACAGCAGCATAGACAGCATGGCCCCCTGTCCCAGGAGACTCCCAGGCTGGGCTCCCATGAGTCTGGGGCCTTCTCAGCAGAGGCCTCTTTGGGAGCCTGGTGAACTTAGGGGTACTCATGTTAGTCAGAACTAGATGGATTTGTGCCCCTTCCCCCAACTAGGAAGTAGGACCAGCCTGTGGCCTGCTGGGAGGGATGTGTGATGGGGGCGGGGAAGGAGGTCCCCAGGCTGGTTGGACAGGTTGACACACCTCAGAGAACGGAGAGAGCCTGGTCTCTGCAGTGCTCCAGGGTGTGGGGGAGGCAGCCTTGCTGCAGAGGGGCTTCTCTTCCCAGCCCCAGGGTCCCCAAAGGTTGGGAGGGGCAGGGCTCAAGGGACCAGAAGGCTGCAGAGGTCTCCAGCTGATTCCCAGCTTCCCAGCTGGAAAGGCTGTTACAGAATCCCAGGAATGTGCTTGAGCTCAGAAAGAAAATTCCCAAAATAACTTCTATAAATACTTGAGGGCGGGTGGGGAGGAGAGCTCAGCCTGGCCTGCAGCTGGCCTAGCTCTAGGGCTGCTCCCCACAAAAGAGGGAAAAGGCACACGTACCCCCAGACCTTCCTGCTGTCCCCCCTCTCTGGGGAACCTCACCTTCTCCCTCATCCCGGCTTATAGTCGCTGATCCCACCCTGCACCTCCAGAGAGCCTGGCTCCTGACAGGGAGGTTTCCCACTCAGAGTCTCCACGCAGTCTTGGGGATCAAATCCCAACAGGATCTGGGCCCCTCAGGCTGCCCGCCTTTGTCGCTGTGGGAGACAGGGCTTGCTGAACCGCCAGGGACAGCATGCCTACCAGCAAATCCAAGTCAGGAAGCACGGAAATACCTCTGGTGTCCCTAGCTTTGTGTCCAGGACTCTTGCACCCCAGCCCTGTTGATCTGTTGCCCTGTGGGGTACAGAAGGAAAGGCAGGAGACAGAGGCCCTCACCCTCACAGCCTGGGAGACAGGACAGGGTTGGCGTACAAGAGCCCCCTGGGTAAATAAGGGCACCCTTGAGGTGGTTGTGTGGGCAAGGGACTGTGTCCTCAGGGAAAGCTTCCTGGGAGTCCAGGCCCCTGCAGATGAGATGGGCCAGACCCCTCTTCCCTAAAATCCAGGAAGGGAGGGAAGAAGGCATGGAGGGACGTGGAATGTCTGGGGACCTACCTCATGGTTTTGTCTTTGCCTGAAACCATGTTGGTGGCTATAGCCAGGCCATGTGTCCCTTTGGAGGTACAATGCTCAGTGGCCATAAACAGCTTGCACATTGCCATCTAATCCCTGAGGGTGGGCAGCCTGGCTCTGGCATCTCCCAGGGGAGGCTCAACAGCTGGGAGCCTCTGCAGATTTGGTCTCCTGAGTGGATGAGGAACAGGGAGGGTTCAGAGGGGACGTTTAGGTGGAACCAAGATTCCAGTTCTGTATTCGCACCATCTCCCTGAAGACCTCTTCTCCGGGCAGGTGGCGTTCCAGGAGGGTGTCAGTGAGCCCTGGGCTAGCGATGGGCTGGGGGCAGAGCAGATGAGACCTCCCATCTCCCTGGGGCTGGGTCCAGGCTGGGTCCCACCCAGTTGTCAGGCAGCAAACAACTCCGAGTTGCTACCAAACACTAATGCGGCTGGTGTCAGGGGCAGGTGGCAGGGGATTCTGTTACAGGCCCTGGGCTTCTGGGCCCCAGCCTGACCCGGGCCTTGGTGTCTCCTTTCAGGCTCTAAGGTCAGCGCCCCAGGGTGCAGGAATGTGAGCCAACCCCACCACAGCCCATAGTCCTCCTCTGGCATAGAACTACTGAACCGTCTCCAGCTTCTAGAAAAATCAGTGATGCCACCTGTCCCTACCCTGAAAGACCCTCAGCTCATCTTAGGGATGCTGCATTTGCCACCTAGTGCCCTGGATGTACTTTTTCAGAATCCTGACAAGGATGGACTCTCCCGTCCCCTGGTTTACAGATAAGGAAACCTCAGAGGAGGTCCGCTACTTGCCAGTGGTCACAGTCCTTGTCAGTGGCAGAGCTGGGATTCCAACCCAACCAGAGCTTCTGGCTGACCTTTTTTCTCTACCCAGGCGTGCGGAGGAGCCCAGACTGAGAGCAGGACTCACACACACGCTGTTCGGCCTGCAGGCACCTCTGGCCCCTTCCCAGACACCCCCACACTCCAGGAGATCAGGGGTTTTCAGACTCCTTTGCAGCCTTGGAGCCCTTCTTTCCAACAAAATCTCTGTGGAAGGAAGCTCCATAAGGAAAACTTAGAGTGCAGAAGGCACCCTAGGCCACCCTCCCTGGGAGGCCCTGCCAGCCACTCTGTCCTCTGTTGCTCCCTTGGGCAGGCTCACGGACCTCAAACCTTCCATTTTTGGTGCTTAATTTTGGTGTCTGGCAGCTGGCGGCTCGCCTTCCTTCCCTCCTCCCTGAGGGCCCGGTTCCACTGTGAGCTGCTTGGGGACTGGCGTCCCAGCCCTGTGGGCAGGACAGCTTGGCCTGGAGCCCTACTGGCCAGATGGACACTGCCCTAGTCCCAGGCAGCCCTGAGTCAGCAGCACTTGCATCTGGCCAGAGCTGGGGCCCTGCCCGAGACTCCACCCTGCCCACGGCAACCTGCCCTGCCCCAAGCTCCACAGCCTCAGCCACGTGTGGTTCCTTGGGTGTGGCTGTGCCCTGGGTGGATCTGGGGCACTGTGAGTACAGTTCCTCTCCCCCATCCCCTGCCACAGGGCCTCAAGCAAGTGCTTCAGGGGAGGGGAGCTTTTCCTGGGCTTCCTGAGCACCCGTCTATCTCTCTTGCCTAATTGGTTGTGTTCCAGGCTCTTGGAGGACTTTATGAAATCAGGCATATGCATCTTTCCCAGTGTCTCCATAGCAACAGAAGGCCTAACTCTGGGGAATTCATGGAGAAGGAAAATGATCCAGCTAAAAATGTACGTGGCTGTCAGTGGGTGGAGAGGGGGCTCCAGGCACAGACGGCAGCGCGCACACGCACGCACACACACACACACACACACACACACACACCAGCAATACCTAGGGAGTTGATATTAGAGCTTTCCCTCCTATCTTAGAACAAGAAAAAGACCCCCTGACACCCACCGCCTTCTCGTGGTATCTTCTAGGGCTGAAATACACAACAGTCGGACGGCGCGAAGCAGCCTTTCTGGGACCTGGGTCTCTCCTCCTTTCTACCTTGTCCCCCTGCTCCCTTCCAAGTGTGGGTGGAAGAGGATGTGGAGGGTATACCATGCCAATTTCACTTCCCAGCCCCTTTTTTTGTGGGACAATTCCCGTCACTTCCTCTAACTGTCTGGCAAGAGTGTTTCAGCCAAACTGCAGGGACATTTCCTGCCTGCTCCTGGCAGACACCCCAGGGCCTTGCCTCCCTGAGCCCATCCAGCCTTTCCCCTGGACCACCCCCGCCTGGTCCTTTCCCTGCCCTCTGACTGTCTCCCATGACCCTCACCTGCCAGGTTGGGTCAGCAGCGGACCCCAGGGCACCAAGCTGCTTGACACAGGCAAAGGAGTGGCACCCTCTGACCCTTCCTCCCTCCTACAAGCCTGAGTTTTTCCGGATGCAGTTCCCGTAATGGACAATGGACATCCCCCCCTCCATCTAGATGCTGCAGGCAGCAAGGACTAGAAAATGAGTCCCCTTTAGCAGGGGCTCACTTGTGCCAGGAACTCCTCGCCTGCGTCACATTGGCTGACTCATTTCACCTTCGGGGCAACCCTAGGGGAGGTTGCTGTGATTTATCATTTGCAGAGGAGGAAACAGGGCTGGGGGACTCACCCAGGACCCCCAGATGGCCTGACCCTGGGGACTAAAAGGGACAGAGCTCCTGCACAGTCTGGTCCAGGACCTGAGGTTGAAGCCGGGAGGACTTGGGTGGGAACAGGTAGGTTTTCAGGCATCAAGGGCAAGGTCACCTGACGGTGCCCAACCCGGGCACAGAATCGTCTCTGACTGGTGACCGACAAGTGAGCTGCTCCTGCCTTTTGTCCCGATTGCCAAGATGCCCCTCCCCCAGGTGCCCTCACTCACTATCCCCTCTGCTTGGTCTCCAGGGTCTGATGCTGAGTCGGCTGGGCCACAAGAGCCTGGCCCAGAAGGTACTGCGGGACGCTGTGGAGAGGCAGAGCACCTGCCACGAGGCGTGGCAGGGCCTGGGCGAGGTGCTGCAGGCCCAGGGCCAGAACGAGGCTGCCGTCGACTGCTTCCTCACCGCCCTGGAGTTGGAGGCCAGCAGCCCCGTGTTGCCCTTCTCCATCATCCCCAGGGAACTCTGAGCGGCACTGCAGCAGCGGGGGACTGCCAGCACAGGCCCAGGGAGGCGGGGGCAGGCAGGGACAGGCAGGGAGCTGGGGTCAGGGAGGGATGCTGGCATTCAAGTGTGGGGCTTAGGGAATACATCGCTAGTGAACATTTCCGCAGGCTGCAGCCCCAGTTCTGGCCCACGCCTCCCCGCTCCCCTCCGGGGCCAGCTGGGGCTGGAGCCGGGTGGACAGGATTTGCATTGGAAGCAAATCCCTTGCTCCCTGGGACTCAGACATGTTATGAGCAGGGAGCTGGGTGGCATCTCCACAAGGCCCCTCCCTCTGTGCCTGTGCATCATCTGAAGATGCCCGAAGGGTGTCAAGCCCCCATCCTTAGAAATTCCTGACAGCTGTACTTTTTGACTTTGGACAAACTTTAGTCTCAAGCCTCTGCACCACCAGAGAGGAGCCCCCAGAGCTGCCTCTGGCTGGGCCAGGCTGTCCTGGATTCCTTTCTCAGTGCCTTGGGAGACAGACTGGCTTGAACTTTAAGTGACTTTGCAGAGTGTGGTGACCTGACAACTCAAGAGTGGGGAGCCTCACAGCTGTGCCTTACCCCTACCCATGCCTCTGCCTTGGGGTCTGGGGTCCCCACTCACTGAATCTTGCTCCCCCTGTCTCAGGACAGGGCAAGTTTCTGGGTGGCTCAGGTCTTGCCCTGGTAGTCCCAGCTTGACTCTGCGGGCTGGGTGAGCACGACAGCACTTCTGGGTTCCTCTCTCAGATGTTAGCAGAGGATGCCTAGCATTGTCCTTCTTTGTCCAAGGGGATCAAATGGGCCCTTCGTGCTCTTCCTCTCTGCCACCAAGTGCCTTTGGGCCTCTCGTGTATGGACCTGAACAGCGGCCCTAACTAACCCTTACATTTCTACCCATCTCTCTGGAAACGTGCCCTAGCCTAAGTGGCCCCTAGAGCGGACCTTAGGGACAAAAATATGGCTCTGGACCCAGCTGTTTCTAATACCCTGAGTCAACACATTCCTGCAAGCCTTTCCCTGGGATGCAGGTCCCTCCAGGGCTACTAATACAGAGGGGGACAGCCTCTAGGACTGTGTCCAGTATGCCTCATCACCTATAGCCCTAGGGCTTTCTTGGGTGACCCAAACCCCACCCTGGGACTCCAGGTGCTATGGTTGGAGATGGAGGAGACCAAGCCTGCCCCTCCTTTCCATGATGAAGCAGGCCTCCATGTCCAGGACACACCCTGTCTGCAGGGTTGGGAGTTGCTGGGCAGATGTCTCCTCCCTGTTGGCTCCGTGGTCTGCTGCTTCCACCCTCAGAACCCTTCCCCAGGAAGTCATTCCCAGGCAGAGTTCCTCCCTGATCTGCCACAGGTTCCAGGAGTAATCGTCCCCTGGGCACAGCTCCCATTTTGAGATTCATGGGAAGGTTGGTGAGGGCCACCCTGGTGTGTCATAGCTGCAACTTTCCCCAAGGGGGACAGCTCAGCACTGCAGAGAGTGGGGGCCTCCTGGTCACCTGCACCAGACCAAGGGGCACCTCAAAGGACACGTGATCCTTTGCCTCTTGGTTGAAGGATCTCTCTGTATGTGTATGTATGTATGTATATAAATATAGATAGATATATATATGATAGAGATCTATTTTTTTCTGGAATTCTATTAGAAAAAAATAAGCAAATGCCACTGATGTGCCTTGGGGTGTGCAAGGATATTGGTAGTCACCTTTTGGTAGTAGGAAATGGCATCAAATGCATTCTGACAAGCGTGCCCTCTCTGGAAGCCACGGAGAGCTGGGCCAAGTTGCTGACAGTGACTTTGGAAATTGAATAAAGAGACTCTTGAAGGGGAAGCTGGATTGCCTTGTGTTCATTCAGTGTGTTCATTCCCCCATGAGCCGAGCCCTGGAGAGAAGGGAGGCAGATGGATAGGAGGGCGGCCACCTGAGAAGGTCGGGGTATCATCTGGAGAATGTTGCCAGGTGGGAGTGGGCGAGAGGAGAGGCTTGGGGAGTATGCGCAGACGGAGCTGAGGCAGGTAAGAGAGGCTCTGGCCTCTGACCTGTCCTTTCAGTGAACTCTGTGCTGCCTCCAGGGCACAGTTGCATCTGAGCAGGAGACACTGGCCCCAGCATTGCAGACGAAGCACCTTCAGCTGTGGAGGAGGAGCATCAGGATGGGGGCTGACCCAAGCCACATTCGGATAACCACCTCTGCTGAGAAGCCCACACCAGTGCATCTGAAGAGAGCCGTTACTCCTCATACCTGTGTACTGTGCCTATTAGAAGACATGCACCTCGTATTTTAAAGAATGATATAAATTTACACAGAAGTTCTACTCTTGGGGTAGAGGGGATAGCAGGGATTGGGCCCCACAAACGTTAGACACACGCTCTGTCACTGAGCTTCATCCCCTGCCCTTTTAATTTTGAGACAGGGTCTCACTAAGTTGCTCAGGCCAGCCTTGAACTTGTGATCCTCCTGCCTCAGCCTCCCGAGTCACTGGGATTATGTATGTGATCTACCCAGCCAAAATTTCTATTTTTTCTTCTTCACGAACCCCAAAGGATCACCTGCTGTACCCACAACTATAGCCACCCAAATGTGCAAAGAGCCACCCTGAGTCTCCCCCTGGAACTCAGGGTCCATCTAGATGGAGCCTCGTGCTTCCTGTGTTTCCCTGTGGCTGAGCGGCCTCCATCGCCGTGGTCATCTAGTACTGGCCATTGCTGGCACAGAGGGGCAGGGCTTCACTTGAAGCCAGTAGCACTCTGCTCTGCTTTTGCTATGATCCTTTTTTCAGGTCACACACTTTAGTGATTGATGACTGGTATCAAACTCTGCTGGCTCTGGCCCTGAGCTCGTGGCTCCTGGGGGGAGTTAAAGGCCACCTCAAGCCACAGGTAGTGTTATGGTATCTGCCAGCCTGAGAGACAGAGAAAGAAAGCTCATTCTCCAGGGAAGAGGATGGGATGACTGTGGAGGCCCAGCCTCCCTGTTCACGTTGAGGGTGTTGCCAGGCTGCCCTTGAGCTGGTCAGATGGTGGAAAGGCGGGTGGAGGATACCCAATGGGCCCAAGAACTTCCCGACACCCATTCCAGTGGCAGATGTTGTGTTCACACATGGACCCTCGTCAGAGAGCAAGGAAGCCACGTTTAAACCAACCATGCCAGAACAAGGGCTTGAGCCTGGGGACAAGACCTGCGGCTGCCCGGTCATCCCCGCGGACCTCCAGCCCACCCACCACTGTCCAGGACCTAGCCCCCCAGCCTTGTGCACCCTGGTATTAATAGGGTTTATCTGCAGGCACAAATATGAAGGGAATTTCAGCCACCACCACCCGGACTCCTTGCTGGTAGCACAGTGCTCATTGTTGTGCTGGCCCCCCAACCGGAGGCTCAGATGTCGTCACCGTGCAAATATTCCTTAGCTTTGAGAAGTCTCCAGCTAAACAAGCCTCCCCATTTTCCCAGGCCATGCTGCCGGTTCACGATGACAGCCTCCGATCAGGGCGTCTCCCATGTGAGCAGCTAGTGGAACCAACCCCATGTCAGGGAGCCAAGGACCCTATTGGCCGGAAAGGGCTGGCCTGGGAAGTACCCACTGTCCCCTGCCAGAGATCCCTTCGAATTTTTATCAGAAACCCTCTAAAGGTAACACAAGAGATAAGAGAGCCCCTTGGAGCCCTAGGGTAGGAACTGTACCACACAGGCCTGGGGCCAAAGCAGCCACACAGCCATTGACCTGACCTGATGGATTTAGCAGGGTGACTGTGCGGTTACCGCCCAAGCTGGAAGACACAGCTTTATCATTGACTGGAGGTGTGGCCTTAAGCAAGGTGCTTAACCTCTCTGTTCCTGTTTCCTCATTTTTAAAATAATAGTAGAATAGTGTCTGCTTTATGGACGATGATAGTTGTGTGAAAAAAAAAAAAAAACATGCCGAGAGCCTAGAACAGCGCCTGGCCTGTGGTAAATGCTCTACACGTGTGCACAATTCTTTTCTCTTTTTCTGCCTGTCCCGTTTTCCTCTCCCTTCTGGTTTTCCTTGCTCGCTCAAAGGTGCTGCTGTCCTGGGATTCTGGTTGACACTACCTTGACCCTCCAGCATCACCCCTATTTGACCTACCACCTACAGAGCTGTGGCCACTCCCCTCTGAACAACTGATTGTTGAACAAAGGGATCTACTTGGTCTCTGTTTTTTGCAGGGGCCCTTGGGCAGCCTGTAGACTGCCCTTTCCTTGGGGTGGTATCCTGCCCCATCCGGTCAGCTGTGACCAGAAGGCAGGGACCTCAGAACATGAAATAGGGCCACTTACTCACCATTACTTGGCACACGGCAGGACCTGAGAACACAGGGCCTTGCCTACAGGACCCGTCTACTGCCACCCTCTGAGAACGCTGCACAGTGCCAGCTCCCCAACTCTGGGGACAGTCGAGATGCTTCTCATCATCACAACCTAGGGACCCACTGGGCTCCGTGTACTTGCACAGCTGGAGAGCTTCCCGGGAGAGGTCACACGGAGCCAGAGGCCTCTTGCTTAGGCGCCCTCAGCCACCAGCTGGGGTGAAGGGGAGGGGATGGCACTCCGTGCTGCCCGGCACCCAGCCTTTCTGCAGCTGCAGTGGAGGTTCCTTAAGCGGAGGCCACTCAAGACCCCGAGAGTCCCCAGATAGCAGTGGTTTTCAGGAGATGCTCAGCAGCCAGAAGCCCAGGCGGGAAGCATGGAGCTGTGTTGGGTTGCAGTGCTCCAGGGCCTCCACCACCTGCTGACTGGCCCAGGATGACCCCCAGAACCAGCTGTGTCCTCCGTGCTCTGGCTTATAGCCTAGGGCGTCCTTACAGGGGTTGAGGGGACTGTCCTTGTTTGCTATTGTTCTAGCTCAGTCTCCATCTCTCTCTCTTCCTCTCTTAACTATGACTTTGGAATTTGGCAAGAAGTTAAGTAAGTCATTATGGATTTCTTTCTTTTTTTCTCTGGAGTGCTGGGGATCTAATTCAGGATCTCACACATTCTACCACTGAGCTGCCATCCGAGTCCTTTTTATTTTGGCTAAGTTGCCAAGGCTGGCCTCAAACTTATGATCCTCCTGCCTCAGCCCGCCCCCCCCCCCCAGCTGGGATTGTAGGGGCGTGCCGCCGCGTCTGGCCTTCAGTAGCTTTTCACCAAGAACTAAAGTTGTTCTCTTTCCCAACCACAGCACTGTCAGCAGACGGGGACTGTAACCTTGACACAACGCTCTCAGCTGATCTTCCACCCACCCCTCCAACTTTGTCACTAATGTTTGTAGCACCAGTTTCCTGCGACCAGGGTCCCACATTCCATTTAGTTGCCGTATCTCTCTAGTCTCCTTTATTCTGGAGAGTTCTTCCTTCTCTCTGCTTTTCATAGCGTGGACATTGCCAGAGGCTGCAGAGGTCTTGCCTCCCAGTGTGATGGTGAGACAGACAGAGAGCTGGGGCTGAGAACAGAGGGCAAAAAGCAGCCCAAGCTGAGGGCCAGAGAGAACAGCCAATTAGATGGAGCTGCAAGATAAAAGCAAAAATGGCCAAGGTAGCTGGGCATGGTTGAGCACACCTGTCATCCCAGCAGCTTGGAAGGCGAAGACAGGAGGATTGCAAGTCTGAGACTAGCCTTAGCAATTTAGTAGGGATCTAAGCAACTTAATGAGTCCCTGTCTCAAAAAGAAAAAAGGGCTGGAGATGTGGCTCAGTGTTAAAGCACCTCTGTGCTCAATCCCTAGTACCAAAAATAAAAAAAGAAATGACCAGTCTGGCACATGCCTATAATCGCAGCTATTCCAGAGGCTGAGGCTGGAGGATTGAAAGTTTAAGGTCAGCCTGAGCAATTTAGCAAGACCCTATTTCAGAAAAGGTGGGAGTAGCAGAGGGAACCTGGTACCAGCATGGGCCCGGTAGTGGCTAGCCTAGCATACGTGAGTCTCTAGGTTCAATCCCCAGTACCACAAAAACAATAGAAAGAGAGAGTGAAGAACAGGTGAATTTCAGCAAGGCAGAGCTTCCAAATCCAGAGAATCGACTGCCCACTTTCAAAGGCAGCAAGGTGACAGGCGCTCTAGAGCTCCATTCTGTCCTGATGACCTCTCCCACTCCAGCAGCGTGCTGTGGGTCCAACCACTTAATCCTAATTTAATCCCAACCACTAAGAAGGCTGAGGCAGGAGGATGCAAGTTCAAGGGCAGCCTCAGCAACTTAGCAAGACCCTGTCTTAAAAAAAAAAATTTTTTTTTTAAAGGACTAGGGATATATCTCAGTGGTAAACCACCCCTGGGTTCAATTCCTAGTATAAACAAAATCAACTCAATGTGGGTCAAAGACTTCAATGTAAGCTCTAAAATAATAAAACCCTTAGAAGAAACATAGGCCCGAAGCTTTAGGACATTTGAGTTGGCAGTGATTTCTTGGGTGTGATAACAAAGGCACCAGCAACAAAAGAAAAATAAAGAAACTGGACTTCATGAATATTTTAAAATTGTATGCAGCAGAAGATGCTGTCCACAGTACAAAAAGACAGCCCAGGGGCTGGGGTTGAGGCTCAGTGGTGGGTGCTTGCCTAGCAGGTGCGAGGCACTGGGCTCCATTCTCAGCACCACATACAAATAAACAAAAGTCCATTGACAACTAAAAAGAAAAGAAAAAGAAAAATTTTAAAAAGGCAGCCCACAGAATCAGAGAAAATACAAAAACCTTATGTCTGATGAGAAATTAATATCCAGAATATATTGAGAACTAGAAATCAACAACAATAATAAATACCACTGGATTAAAAAACAGGCAAAGGACTTGAACAGACGCTCTTCACAGTGTTTGTTTCGCCCTCACAGTCTGTTTCATTGGGCCAAAAAGTGCATGAAAAGGTTCTTAGCATCACTAACTATCCGGGAAACACAAATCCAAACTATAAGGCACCACCTTTCACCCATTATGACAGCTCCTGCCCAGAAAACAGAAGTGGTGTTGGCAAGCAGTGGAGAGACTGGGGCCCCTGGGTGCCGTTGGTGGGAAAACAGTGTGGTGGTTTCTCAAAAAAATCAAAACCAGACCATTCTGGAAAGCAGTCTGGAGATTCCTCAGAAAACTTGGAATGGAACCACCATTTCATCCCACAAACCTTGGTTTATACCCATAGGACTTAAAATCAGCATACTATAGTGATGCGACCACATCAATGTTTATAGCAGCTCAACTCACAGTAGCTATGCTATGGAACCAACCTAGTTACCCTTCAACAGATGAATGGATAAAGAAAATGTGGTATGTATACACAGTGGGATATTACTCAGCCTTAAAGAAGAATGAAATTATGGCATTTGCCAGTAAAGGGATGGAATTGGAGACTATCATGTTAAGTGAAATAAACCAATCTCAAAAACCCAAGGGCCAAATGTTCTCTCTGATATGTGGATGCTAACATACAATAAGAAGAGGGGAGGCAAGAATAGAATTTCATTGGATTAGACAAAGGGGAATGAAGGGAAGGGAGAGGGGTTGAGAATAGGAAAGACAGTAGAATGAACCAGACATAACTTTCCTGGGTTCATATATGAATACACCACCAATGTAACTCTACATCGTGTACAACCACAAGAATGGGAAGTTGTACTCCATGTATGTACAATATGTCAAAATGACTCTACTGTCATGTATTTCTAAAAAGAACAAATAATTTTTTTTAAATGAAAAACAGAGCCACCCCATGATCCTGCAATTCTATAGGCTATATGTCCAAAAGAACTGAAAGCAGGGTCCTGGAGAGACATTTGGACACATACAGCCGCAGAAGTATTGTTCACAGTAGCTAAAACACAGATGCCACCCAACATCTCCATCGTGAGATCCTTGGATGAAGCCAAATGCAGTGGAAACATACAATGGGGTATTTATTCACCCTCAAAAAGGAAGGAAGTTCAAACGCATGCCGTAGCTCGAGGACAGTGCTAAATGAAATACGCCACTCACCAAAAGACAAATACCGTCTGCTTCCACTTACACCGGGTACTTAGAGGAGTCCAAATCATGGAGACGGGGAGCAGGATGATACTTGCCAGAGATGGAGGAGCTGTTGTTTAATGGGTGCAGAGTTTCAGTTTTGCAAGAGGAAAAGAGCTGTGATCGTTGCATCTAACACCACTGGACTGTATACTTTAAAATGGTCACAACTGCACACTCATAGTATGTGTATTTTATCACAATAAAAAAGTAAGAAAAAGGAACCACTGATTCTGAACTTGTAGGTTTGGAACTTTTTTTTTTCTTTTTTCTTTCAAGATAATAGGGTTTTCAAAGTAGTCCTAGGCCAGGACACCAGGCAGCTCTGTGCCTTAGGGGACATCAAGCACATTAGAGGTGATGCTAGACATGGGGCAGGTCACCTAAGCAACCCGAGGTCCTCAGCCTCAAAGCCTGTGCCTGCCTCTCTCCAGGACTGGAAGGTGACCCTCCAGGCCCAGAGAGAGTGAGGAGGCGGGAGTGGGGAAGGATGGAAAGCAGAGGAAGGGAGGAGGAGGAGGACAAGCTGTCCCCGGTGACTTCTGATATGCTCTGACTTAATGGGGAGGAAACTTCACAGGGAAACAACACAAAATATCTGTAGCAGAGAAGAAGCATTCCCTTTGGTTGGAGCCAAATTGAGAGAGCAGTTGGAAAAGTGGGGTGGGGGTAGAGGGGCAGAGGGATGCCCAGGGGAACCAGGGTAGGGACCTAGAGAAGCCAGCATCACGGAAGCTAACGGGAGGGAGGCAGAGAAGGCTGTGAGGTCCTGAGGGAGTCCCTCAGGGACCTAAGATGGGGGGCGGGGGGGGGAGGCCATAAACACCATCGTCCCCTTTCACCTGTGGCACTCTATGGCTTTGCCAAGTCCTCTCGGGCATGTCATCTGATTCGCACACAAGCCCTAGCCGCTAGGTGTTACGAGTTCCAACCTCAGAGCTGAAGTTCAGTGTCAACCCTAGTCTGTCCTGTCTTCTATCCTGGAATTATTGTCCCAGGTTTGGACTCAAGGAGGGGAAGAGTCATTCGGTCCCTCTGGTCTTTCTGGAAAAGTCTTTCCCAAACTGAATGAAATGCGGTTTAATAAAAATATTAGAATATTTCAAAGAGGAAAAGTAAAACCTGTTTTTGCCACCAGCTCTCAGGAGCTCCTGTGCTAACCCCTGGGGCAGAGTCTCTGTCACCTCATCCTGAAGAGCAAAGCAGGGTAAAAGCAAGACAGGTCTGAGGCCAGGCACCGCAGCCCCAGAAAGGAAACCCGGCCCACCATCAGGGAGGCCAAGGCAGAGCCTAGTGAACACCCCAGGGGGGCACAGAACTCAGGGTAGCCCAGACGGCCCTGCAGAATATTCCCCAGAGGTTCCTCCGGGTGAAATCCCTGCTGGCCTCCCAAATCCCTTCCTGCAGGCTGGTCACATCACCCTGCTCTTCTTACTCCAAAAGGGTCCTCATTCTCCTAGGACAATGGGAAACTTCCCTCCACCCCAGTGATGCCCCACATACACACACAACTGGGCGCCTGCAGCCACATCTGTACTATCTGTAGCTCCTGGCCAGAACCGATGGCGTGAACACAGAACCTGTTTAGCCACAGACTTGTTTTTTCTAAGTAGAAGTGACACACTCTAAAATAACAATAAAAATGGGCTGGGGTATGGCTCAGTGGTAGAGTGTAGGTTTAGCATGTCGAAGGTCCTCCGTTTTGTTCCCAGAACAACAAAAAAGTCTAATAAATATCCCAGGTAATGGTAAGAGAGAGAGAAAAAATGTACAGTAAATATATTAACCAGTTTCACAGTTGTTTATTTTTGTTATCAAGTGTTACACACTGTGTATAGTTGCATGTGCCTTAGGTTTGCTTACACCAGTGTCACCACGAACACGTGAGTGACGTCTTATACTACAATGTTATTAGGCAATAGGAATTTTTCTGTTCCATGCTGCAGGGACCACAGTTACATGCGTAGCCCATCATTGAACAGAGTTAGTTGACGCCTGACTGTATTCATCAAGTGGAATCAATATTGTTCTTTTCAGGGAGTTGACAAAGAGAAAGTGCCACCTTTTGGAGTCCTGTGGCCTTGGTTGAATGCCAATGATTCAGGGAAGTCATCAAGGGGACCTGGAGGTCTTTCAACATTAATGCTGTTAAGGTAGAAGGACCAAGGCCACACAGCCTGGATATGTGGGGCATCTGGGTGACTGCAAGAGCATCCTGGTGCCCAGTCTCTGGGGACATGCTCTTGGGTAATAGGTAGAGCAGCACAGGATAAATTTTTCACACCAGGCCCCTTTTGAGAAGTGAGTTAATAATTAAGCTGCAACTATCAAAGACAAACAGGAAAGATGGCAATTCCTCATGTCCCGAGGCCAAGGCCCTCTACCGAACAGGCAAAGCACGTTTCCCTAAACACCAAGAACTTGCTAAAAAAAAAACAAAAAAAAAACCTCAAAGTGGTTTGGCACCAATATCACTTTATTTTAATAGCCAATCGTGTTATTGAAGAAAAGGCTGTGTTCTCGGCCCATCTTGGCTATGGTTGGGTTCTGCTTAGGGAACTGTATGGAAGATACATAGGCTCCTGGGCCTGGGGTTTTCTGAAACCAGAAAAGAAAATAAGACTGATGAGGCAGTGACACCAAAACCTGGCTGCTGGGTTGGATGTGGATGGTGGATGAGTCCCCTGTGCAGGGCCACAGGACCATACCAGCCTGGACTGAGGCCTGCAGGGTCTTTGAATTGGAGCGTAGGTGCCCTCGGAGCTGAGGCGGCTCCTGTCAGCATCACCATGTGGCTGCAGAGGGGGGGAGACAAGGGCAGGACCATCCAGGGCCCACGGGAACCTGCTAGGGAAACAGGGTCACACCCCACCATACCTCAAGGCCCTCCACCTGCACAGCTCCTGTCCCAGGGAATGTCACCTGCCCTGCTCCAGTGACCTCCATCTAGAAACAAGTGGCTGGAGAGACCTGATTCTGAATCTGGATGGTCTAATTCCAGAGCCCAGACTACCTCCCAAATTTGGCTGAGTTTCTATCACTAACCCAGTGTGAAAACGCTAGGTGTTTGTCAAGTGGGGTCTGTGGCCCCAGGGCCCAAAGTGTTCCCAAGGGATCCACGAGCTCTTGTTTGTAACCATCAGGTTCCCATTTTGAAGAAACGGCATAATGATTGAGGACAAGCGTTTCAGAGTCCAACAGGCCTGGGTTTGAGTCCCAGTCCTACCTCCACTGGCTCAGTGTGACCCTGGGCCATCAATCAGGGCACAGTGCTTGCCGATAGGAGGGGATAGGGCTCACTGGAGTCCCTTCAAAACAGTCCGTACTTGGCAGGGCCTGTAACAAGCCTCCCACGCTCACCGCCCCCCATTCTCCATTACCACCTACTGGTCATTTCCATCCTTCCTCACAGTTGGCTGTCCCTTCAGGAGACAGTGAAGGTACAGACAGTGTTTGCCTGAGAGGGGAATGGAGCGGTCAGCCTGGTCAGCCCCAGAGGATGAGATCAGCTGCCTACAGAAGCCGCTCTCAATGACAGCGTGTTTCCTTGCCAAGAGCAGAGCAGCAGCCTGGAAATCTAATCAAGTCTTGGCCACACGTCAAAGGAAGCGGAAGCCTTTATTAGTGCGATGAATGAGGATGCAACATGTGCGTGGAGTCTTGGGCGGCCAGGCCACAGAACCGGAGGGTCAGCAGGCCTGTGCCAGCAGACACCCTACAGGAGGCTGCCAGTTGTGGCTCATCCACCCTGAAAACACCCAGCTTGACACCCCGTGCCCTCATTTCACTGTCACCAGTGAAATTCTGTGGTCCTTGGCTTCCATGAATATTTCCTGTAAGGGAGCACAGCAGGCCCTCTGGGTAGATGCTTCAAAATTAATGCTACACATGATGGTGTGTTGCTCAGTTTCCTGGGAGTTTGGTTAGCATGACTCAAGTCTTCCTGAGAATGCTCAGTCCTATGGGCCCTGACAAACATCTGTTTGGGGATCATGGTGATGTCACTAAGGTGGTAGGATCCTCCAGACCCCTGTTGTGAGTCACCCTGCGATTTTATTGGTTGGGCCTCCCCAGTACACCTCCAAAGAAAGGTCACACTGCAGTCCAGCCAGCTGCAGTGCAGCCCATCCTACGCAGTGCCCCAGCTTCTCCCCATCCCCTTGAACCTTTAGAGAAGCTCCTCTCTTATAAGCAGAATTTATATTTCTGTCTCTCCAGTCATCTCAAATGAGTCTACAAACTTTCAAACTGGGGCTCAGGCTGAGCGGCAATAAGACCATGGGAATTAAAATGGTCTCTTGGCATCAAAAAATATTTTTAAAAGCCACAGTTGATAATGTTTTTGTAATCATTCTTGGTCTTCTTGGGGCCTTGGAGACCCTGCACATCCCCAGAATCTGCTTTCTCCACAGAATCGGGCTTCTTCCTTTCTGTGAGTCCTTGGAGCAAGATGATGGCTCATGTCTTAAAGGTCCCCTTTTGGTTCGGCAAGGTTTCTGCTTCAACGTTTTGCTTCCTTGAGCTCCAGGAAGCCACCCACAGAGACCATCAGTTCTGGATGGCTGGAGGTGGCCATGAACACTGCTCACTGCAGTCCATTAACAGTGCCCTCTCAAAGCATCCAGGTCACAGCACCAGTGGCTGACGACCATGCTGGCTATTTTCAACCAACCCATAATTCAGCTACAGTCTTCGGGCCTAGAGTCACCCTGGGTCTGAGGCTGGCTGAGGCTTGCAGATGCTGGAGCTCCATGCTCCTTCCTGCCTGACGGGCCACACTCAAGACTGTAGGTGATTGTACTCCCTGTCCCCCACCTTCTACACCCAGGGAATCTTAAGACACCCCCCCCCAGCCACACCTCTGGGGATGTCTGTCTTTTAGAATACTCACTGAATAGCTGGGCTTGAACCGGGGTACTCTGGATTGAAAACAAGAAGTAATGGAACTTGGTGAAGGTATTTTTACATTATAGTGACCTGGTCCTGGGCCTTCGCGCTGGAGGACATAAAAAAATAAAAATAAAAAATAAGAAAGTTTTACTATTACTAATGCTTGATATATTTTATATATATGTAATAAATGAAAATATATAATATATATCTTACATGTTATATATATATATATATATATATTATATATTATATATCTTATATAAAATCTCAAGCCTTTTACAAATAAATACATGAGTTCATATGATACGGTTTTAAAAAAAATTCCCAGATTTGGACTTGAGCGATCACACTGAGGTATGACCTGGAAAACGGGAAGTGGGAATAACACCCGAGAGCCCTCCTTAGCTGCCTCATACATAATGTGAGGGCTGGAGAAGACAAAGTGACCTTATCCCTTTGGCCCTGTCAGGGGAACCACCTTCCCACACACAGGCCCCTGTTCCCATCCCTGCGCCTCCCGCCACGCTTGCTGCTCTGAGCCGTTTGCTTCATAAAGCACACTTATTCCTTCATATAAATGCAATATCTGTTTTATGAGTCCTAAAAAGTATTCACAGCAATTCACTGAAATAAGCTGTGAGATTAACATAAATGGATGAACACAACTAAAAAGACAAACACTCCAATAGAAAAATCAGCGTAAGGCAACTCACAGAGACAAAACACAGATGTTCAATGAGCGCGCTGCGGGGAAGAGGGCTTCCACCACATTAATCACCAAGTAAGGTCTAATTAGGACAGTGACATTCTCTTTTTGGAAGACAGCATCTAGAACAAAGGCTAAGAAAGAAAGGAGAGAAAGATAAAGGAAGGAAGAGATGCAGGGGAGGGAGGGAGAGAGAAGGAAGCAGGGGAGGAAGAAACCCAAAGATTTAACAACAAGCTCAGGCCCGGCTACAGATGCTGGCGGAGTATAAATCCAATCAACCTTTTCTGTAGTGCAATCTGGAAAGATGTGAAATGGTTTAAAAATGAACTTGCCCATGCAGAGGGAGGGAGGCAAAGAAGGAAGGAGCGATCACCAGGGTGCTGCAGGGTCCAGGAGAAAAATTATGAGTCCTGAGCCTAGATAAAGGAGGGTGGGGACTGCAGACGGCAGGGAGAGGACAGGGGAGGGAAGAGGAGAGGGACCACCCAAAAACACACACTGCTGACGTGGTGACAACCTTTTCCTTTTCCCCAGTAATTCACTTTTTCCTCTCCCATTTTCAAGTAGCCAGAGTTCACTGCCTTAGGGGTGGGACCCCACAAACCCCAGAAATGAGCCCTTCTGGCATGATGTCTTGGATCTGTTTCTAAATAATGCAGGAATTGGGGGGGGGAACAGGTGGGAGAACAGATGGGTTTAAAAATGGCCAGGGGTTGACCATTGTGGAACGGGCACATGAAGCTGTAACATAGTGCTCTATACTATTATATATATATTTATTTGTTTGTTTATGGTAGCAGGGATTGAACACAGGAGTACCTGACCACTGAGTCACATCTCCAGCCTATTTTTATTTTTAATTTTGAGACAGAGTCTCACTAAGTTGCTTAGGGCCTTGCTAAGTTGCTGAGGCTGGCTTTGAACTTGCCATCCTCCTGCCTCAGCCTCCCAAGCTGCTGGGATTACAGGCCTGCGCCACCATGCCTAGCTATGTAAGTGTTTTTAAAGTTTTCACAATATAAAGTTTAAAACAATGTATATTTATTATTTTGACCCAGCTATTCCACTTTTAGACATTCATCCTAAGAAATAATTGAGAAATGTTTACAAATATGCACCCACCAAGACATTCAGTGTAACATTACTTTAAAAGTTTAGAAATAAACTAAATGACCAGTGATGGGTGCCTGGCTAAACAGATTGATTCTTCCATCCAGCTGTCCAGTGTTGATGAAACTTTATAGGCATAAAAGGATTCCCAAATATCATTAAGTGAAAAATGTAACCTTAAAATGTGTTTATAAAAATATTTCAGGGGCTGGGGTTGTAGCTTAGTGGTAGAGCGCTTGCCTAGCAAGTGCGAGGCCTGGGTTCGATCCTCAGCACCATATAAAAATAAGTAAATAAAATAAAGGCATTGTGTCCAACTACACCTAAAAATTAAATATTAAAAAAAAATTTCATGGCTTGGGTTGTGGCTGAGTGGCAGAGTGCTTGCCTCACACATGTGAGGCACTGGGTTCGATCCTTAGCACCGCATAAAAATAAATAAACAAAATAAAGATATTGTGTCCATGTATAACTAAAAAATATTTTTTAAAATTTTTAAATGACTTATACATGGATGGTAGCTTTCTCCAGGTGATGGCATGTTAAGTTAAAAAGGAAAAAAAAAATTTTCTGCTTATCTGCCTTTTGGGGCAGGGGGTGAGGGATAGATACCGGGATTGAACTCAGGGGCACTCAACCACTGAGCCACATCCCCAGCCCTATTTTGTATTTTATTTAGAGACAGGGTCTCACTGAGTTACTTAGTGCCTCACTTTTGCTGAGGCTGACTTTGAACTTACGATCCTCCTTTCTCAGCCTCAAGCTGCTGGGATTACAGGCGTGCATCAACACGCCCAACTTTCTTATCTATCTACATTTAAAAATTTTTCTGCAATGAATATGAGTGTTCTTGAAAAATGAAAAAATACTTAAGGTAAAAAAAGGGAATATGGAAATTGGGTAAATAAAAATAAGGAATTAAAAAAAAACAAAGATAAAGCCAACAGTAAGGTTAGAACAGAGGCATATATTGTGTACCATCCTTCTGGTAACTGAAGCTGGTCACAGATGAGCCCTGGGGCTGGGGGGTAGCAGAACAAACACTGGACTGCAGACCTCCTGCAAGATTTAAGAGCCAGGATTTCCTGTTTGCTCTAGCTGGTGGCACAGAAATGTAATTAGGACTGCCACTCTCAATTATTCTACCATGAATGGAATATGTTATTAACAGACACGCACAAGCCTAATAAATCAAGGGACAGATGCACCTCCTTGTTTTATACCTCATGACAGAGAGATGAAAGGGGTAATGTTTTCAAACTATGCATACATGTGACAAAGGTCCCTATCGAGGTGAGGTTCTCTGGTGTGCACTCTGCACCAACATTGAAGAAATCATAAACACGAGGAAGCACAAGCCCCGGGAATCCAGTTGTGCAACCTCTGACTGTAATAGCGCAGCTCTGAGCTGGATAGGTAGCTGGCTAAAGATGCCGCTGTGTGCACCATCAGTTCCACACCTACGACTGCCCTGCCCCTGCTCCCAAGCCTAAAGTGGCTTTCTTTCTGAGCTTCCAGATCATGGGTCCCTTAGAAGTCTGAGTGTCAAGTGCAATGAAGCACTGATGAGGTCCCATGCCATCCAGCAGCTGCCCTGCATGGGCTGGGTCACCTGATTCAAAGGAACTGGGTCATGGAACAGAAAGAAATTACTGCCACTTGCGGCAGATGGAATCCTTAAGAGGGAAACATTAGGGAAGTGGGTCCAGACCCAAGTACATATTTCAAAAGCCACAGGAATGCTGCGGCAGAGCCTTGACGGCTCTGAGACTGGTCACTCGAGGGTCCTGCAATAGCCAGGAAGCAGCTCTGGCAGGGTCCTGGCTGCAACCCCACCTGAGGGCGTTGTAACTGGGCAGAGGCTTGGGATGTATCTTTTCTGGACCCAGTTCAATGGGAGGGTGTTTAAAACAAGGAGGACATTTGTAGTAGGTCTGTTTTGAAGTTGAGCACTCTGCTCCCTGGTGTACCAGGGATCACTGAGGGTGATCCGGGCTTTAGTCCCACACCGTGTGATGTGCATGGGAAGGGAGGCCTCCGGGTTCAGCTAAGCCCTCGGCACCTCTCACACAATCCCATGGCCCGTTCCCTACACCTTGCTTTTGTCAGGGCTTTGCTGTGGCAACTTGGGATTTTCCGAAGCCAAACCTCTCAGAGGAGAACAGAATAGCCACCCAATTAAAGTCCCAGGACTTGACGCCAAGGGAAACTTCAGGAAAGGTGTCATGGGACCATCCCTCTGCTTTTGGGGCCTAATTCCAGCTCAACCCTACTGCTACCTGGTAGTGTCATTGTCTTCCCTTTGAGAAAGTCCTATTTGACTACTAGTTTCTTTCTTTCTTTTTTTTTTCCTTTTTTTTTTTTTTTTTGTGCCAGGGATTGAATCCAGAGGTGCTTAACCAGTAAAACACATCCCCAGCCCTTTTTATATTTTATTTTGAGACAGGGTCTTGCTAAGTTGCTGAGGCTGGCTTTGAAGTTGCCATCCTCCTGCCTTAGCTTTGTGAGGCACTGGGATTACAGAAGTGCACCACCGTACCCAGCTGGTGCCCATTTTTTAAATACCTTTATTTATTTTATTTTTATGTGGTGCTGAGGATTGAACCCAGTGCCTCACACTTGCGAGGCAAGTGCTCTACCACTGAGCCACAACTGCAGCCCCGCTGGTGCCCATTTTTTAAAAGGGAAAATTTAGACAGACAGACAGACACACACACACACACACACACACACACACACACATACAAAGCCACATGAAAGCAAAAGGAGAGTTCTACAAACTGAGGAATGACAAATGTTCCAGCAAAGGACCACAAGCTAGGAGAGACACATGGAGCAAACTGTCCCTCATTGTACCCAGAAGAAACCAATGGGGACTTGTGGGAGGCCAACCTTACACGTGACTGAGTTACACTTCCCGGCTGGGTGCTGAGGCTCTCAGTCGCAGAAATGTGGCACCCTTCTTGAGTGCGAGGGTCGGTGTCTCGTGCATGGGTGTGTCTTGCTACAGCCCCATGGGTGAAGCTATGTTCCTTTGTAATATAATCCCTTGCCCTGTTTAGGATAGAATCTTCCATGGAAGTGCCTTTGTGTGTGTCCCCTTCTCTTACTGTGCCCTTGGATGTGGCCTACCCAGGTGTCAGTCAACCTGCTGACAGTGGACATCATGAAGATAGACTCACCCCCCTGAAACCTGACCCCTTGCCTCATTTGAATAGCTTCTCCTCAATAAAAGGGGTCAGCGCGTGCTCTCGCTCTTTTTCTTCGGACCCTTAAGGTCAGAG